AACTTGATGAACTTTTCAAATAAATAAAAAGAACCTATATGCAAGGAGTCTTTTTTTTAAAGAAATTTAATTCAATTAGTCCCTTTGATAAATTTCAATAGTGTAATAAGAAGACAAAGATTATCAGAGCTATGTTGCCTTCTTATGACACTATCGACTGGCCAAGCTAAACTTATTCCCGTTGTCATATCGAAGAACTAGAGACGACTTGATTACAGTGATGAATTTGCACCTAATATATCCTCATTTTTCTTGTCTTCCAAAACATAGAATTTACTAGGATACTTCAAAAAAGCTCACAAGTCCAAAACAAATTACTTATCAGTTGACTATCGACTCTCCCATCGAATCATCAACGAGTGGAATTCATTAACTCAGCACGTGGTTGATGCTCCATTTATCGACTCTTTCGAAAGAAAGTTGGATCAACAGAGAGACCATCATTGCCAAGACTAACACAGGCCATCAAACCTCCTGTCCTTTCCAAACGGAAACTGAAAAAAAGCCATGGAAATTGTTAACTTATGTTTTCTCTTTTTGGTGGAGTTTTGTTCTCTGGGCTGGATGGTTTGGTCGTGCAGCTTTCATCGTTCTTCTGAACGACATCATCAGCACAAACTTCAGATAGAAGTGAAGTGTTTGATTTTCTCCATATCCGTTTCACAGCTTGTTCTGTGCACCTCGATGTTGATTGGTTCTTATTGACCTTCAATTTGTCATTGTTTACTTCTTTGTTTTGGTTGTGTCTCTCATTGGTTTGATTTTTGTTCCTATATTTATGCATGATTTTCGTGATTGGTTGATAAATTGGATTGATTTCAATATGTTTGTTGATTGCTGATTGACCTGAGTGCCAAGCTTCTAAAAATTCTCTGGTGTTTTTGGAGTTTCCTCTGTCTAAGATTTCTACATTTTTCCAATCGAATGAGTGTCCGTAGTTATCCACGTGTATTGATATAAGTGAAGAGATATCATGGCGTTTGACTGCTAATTGATGTTCATGTAGGCGTAGGTGGAGGGGGCGTCCGCTTTGTCCGATGTAGTGTTTTTCGCAGTTGGTACAATTTATTTTGTAGACGATGTTTGATTTGTTTTCCTTTGTTATTTCATTCTTTGGTTTGCATAGAATTGATTGTAGTGATTTTGTCGGTTTGTGTGCCACACCTATCCCGAAAGTTTTCAGCAGTCTCGTTGCGGTTTCTGAAATTCCTTGTATGTACGGTAGGGTGATCCTTTTGTTGATTTTTGTGCTTGATTTGGGTTCTGATGCTGCGTGTGGTTGGTGTTTTTTGATGAAGTTGATTGGGTAGCCGTTCTTTTGAAATATGTCCTTCAGGTATTTCTCTTCATTTTTTCGTGCTGCCAGTGTACTGCAGTGTGTTCTCGCCCTCTTGAACAATGTGTGTACGCAGTTGATTTTGTGAGTTCTTTCTTTGTGACCCTTTTCTTAATCCATATTCCAACCTATGATAATAAACAGGGACAAGTACACGAAGATGAGCTCATTGAATTGTAATTTTAATTAAATGAACAACGAAAAAAAAAGCGTTACACATATAATTGTCAAAGCATTTTTATATGAAAAATAAAAGGTCAACTAGACAGGTTAAAGGTAAGCCGTAACAAAGAGGTATATAGTACACAGTGTTAACCACTCAGTATGAACAAGGTAGGTTAAAGGTAAGAACAAATTGTTTTTGAACACACAAAGGAGGTTTCAGTTTCCGTATAGCCAAGGCTGTAATAAACCTTTGTATATGTCGTTGAACGCTTTTGTATAACACTACAAATGTTGACTTGATATCAACCTTATGACCAGTCTGAATCAAATGTTTCTCTATAGAGGAAAATGTCTGTCTATCCTGTGATTTTATTTGACCATTGGAATTCATTTATTTCTGCAGCCATTTAGGTATATGTTCCGTCACCTTTTCTTGCAAATCACGATTGCTCCTCCTTATACACGTTTTTCCACACATACGTGTAAATTGATAGACACAATCCCTTATGTGCTGTTTAGGTTTTCGGTTAAACATAGACCTTGTCTTTTCAATAATGATAAATAGGGTTGCATAAATTATCCTCTTGATGGCTAATTTAAATTTCCATTTCAACATAAGACTATATGAGTCGCCTTTAACTGGTAACACAATGTTAGCTCGCTTTTTGCGTAACAGAAGCGTCATAGGTCTCATTGTAATGCAACCCTTCTAGTAGATTATGAATTTCAATGAATAACTATTATTCATTAACCGGAAATGTTAATTCATCATGAGTTATAATGTTGACATTCATCAGAAACATTACCATTCACATATACTTTGAATAATACTCTTTCATGTGTTCAAATAATCTGAATTATGTAGCAAAAATTAATTGTATCAAGTTAAATCTAATCTAAATATGAACGTAGAAAACTCAGTTTATGTTCAATGATTTTCAATGAAACAATTTACTTTTGGAGACTTCTAACTGTCCAGTACTCAATGTATTTCAGAGTTTATCTTAAGTGTTATAGTCTGCTATCAAAATTAAGAATGTACAAATTAAATAATTTCGTTGATTGGTTGAAGTTACACTGTTGGGATGACGGTTCAATGGTCTAGAGGTCAACTGTTCGTATGCTACATTGATAGATATTGGGTTCGAATCTGTCGAGGCGGGATCGTAGATGAACACCGTTGACGTGTCCCATACTAGGACGAAACAGCCATTTAGTGCCTCCAGGTTTTCCAACTTCAATTGATTCATGAATTCAATATTTTTTTCTAAAATATCAAATTCACAATGAAATTTTGCACCATAAGTAAACTATGAAATGAATATTGTAGGTCAAAAAAATTCTATATTTTGATGTCTGATTATATATCGAATGAATAAAAAGGTCAAATTGACTATCGGCATTCGACTCCAGATAATAATGTCAAGGTCAAATGAGACTTACACTAAACTGGAGAGTAAAAACCTTATTGATTATCCAATGAAATCATCAATTGAAAACAATAATGTCCCGTTATATTCATTGTTCTAATAGCTCTTTTAATAAGGATGAGAAGGGATGGTTGTATCCTCTCTCTCTCTCTCCGGCTTTTGTACAGTTTTCAAGATATTACTAAATTTCTCAAATATACCCTGTAGTAATAGTCGATGCAAATACTGTTTAAGGGATTGAAAATAGTCCTAGTATCAAAAATACGACTGATCGTCTCTAATCAGTGTGTAAGTGTTCTAACATTTGGTGGATGGTGAGGATATGATCAAAACATTCATGATCTGAACAAAAACCAGACTACTTCTTCCAAGTCAATCTTTCATGGGTTGTGTACTATGTGTAAAGTAAGATGAAAGCCGATGATTTGGACGTGATGAAAAGTAGACTTATCTCTACAGTTGATACATAGACGGCAATTGATTCATTCCAAGAAATTGGGACGTTTTCCTCCAGTTCGCAAAACAGAAGCTGGCTACCAAACCGAAAAAACAAAGAGGATAGGTCGTTGAGCCTGGTAATCTGTAGTACTTTAGAAATTGGAGTTTTTCGCACCCAAGGGATACACGACAGTTATATTTATATCGATGGGGTAATACATCACATTGTGACGGCTCTTTACTCGAACACCACCAGTCAAGTCAGAGCTTATGGCAAACTGTCATGTGCTTTTGCAACCTCAAGTGCTGTCCACTTTCTCCATTTTTGTTTAAATTCAGCATAAACCTACTGATGGAAATAACGCTCTCGTCGACTGAATTTTCAGGAATTGACTTCATTCTAGGAGGTCCACTTATCGACTTAGAATATGCAGATCATATAATCCTGTTTAGTGAAGACGCTGATAAAATGCAGTCTTTTGGAAGCACTGAGCAAGAACGCCAGAGTGTTTGGGATGTGCTTCTCCCCTAACAAATGTAAGTTGTTGCTTCAGGACTGGTCTACATCAACATCTGAACTAAGGACAGCGAGTGAGGTAGTCGAACGTGTTGAAAACTTAACTTAGCTTGGAAGCCTGAGCAACCATAATGGGTTTGCGTATGACGAAGTCTCAGCTCGGATTTGAAAACCTCGTTCGGCTTTTGCCAACTTACGTCACCTATGGCGAAGGTGAGATATATCCGTCTATAAATTAAAGGAAGAGTACACTGCGCGACAGACAGTTCGTTCTGCTCTATTTTACGGCTGTGAAACGCAGCCATTAAGAGTAGTAGATACTCGTAAGCTACTAGTATTTAACCACAGATGCCTTAAAAATATTGCTCACATCTTCTACGATCACCGGGTAAGTAATAGTGTGGTTAGATGCAGGGCATTAGGGAATGATGATGGTAAACCAGTTGATGACGTAATGAATCTTCATCGACTGAGATTGTTGGGTCACGTGTTACGAATGCCTGAACACCGATTACCACGAAGTGCAATGCTAACGGGTGTTGGAGATGGATGGAAAAACGTTAGAGGCGGTCAAACCAAAACGTGACACCAGTCCTTGAAGTCATTATCTTCTATTCTGAGCTATGTTGGCAGATTCAGACTACTTGGTTGGGGTCCGTGTGACTATCGTAATCAATGGTTGGAGACTCTGTGTGACATGGTTGAGAATCGATCACAATGGCGTCGGTGTAAACACTCCCTGTCTTCCTTAAACTAAGAGTTTAAAATCGCTTCATATCTTTCTTTCTTCCTGTGTTGTCTTTATATGCAATTTTTCTTTCTTATATTACCACCATGGGCTTAACTGCTTCTATGAATCCGGTGTTGATCTTGTTGTGCTAATGAGGTATGTCAACTTGGACGGATGCATATATGTGCCTTGTCCTACGTTGTAGCTGACTGCTTGCTCGAAAAACACGACTCATCGACCGAGACTCCTTTCAATATTATATCACTAATTCGAGTGTTATTAGCTACAGATCATTTCACCCATATCAAACTTTTCGTTGCTAGTAATTCGGAAGAATTGAAACAACTTCCCATAGTTACTAAACTGAACTGTAGAATCTGACTCTTAAATACGCACCAATTCACAAGGTAATTTCAACAAGTTACTTAATCTAAAAATTGAATCATACCAATGAAGTTGTCTTTTCGATAATGAAATCATACTTTTATTTAACATGTTACATACAGTAACATTATTATTATTATTATTATTATTATTATTATTATTATTATTATTATTATTATTATTATTATTATCAATAATATTACAAATCATACTGTCACTAATAATAAAAACAGAATGATGAATACAAATTTACAATCGTGAAATGGACGTACCGGTAAAAACGAAAAGGAACAACAGCATCAATAATAATAATGATACAAAATGACTTCACTTCATTATTACTAATCCATTGATGATGATGATGATGATGTCTACATAAAATCAAGTCGAATTAATCTAAATCACACAACTAATTATGTGTGTGTTGATGTGCATTTTGTGTGTAGTACGTGTGAATGTGTGTGTGTGTGTCTGTCCGTGTGACAGAGAGTTAAAGGATAAAGTTGAAGGCATATTCTATTTGTACATAAAAATCCATACCCACTGATGGAAGTAGTTATGCGTGATTCGTAATGTTAAGATAATAATAATAATAATAATAATAATAATAATAATAATAATAATAATAATAATAATAATAATAATAATAATAATAATAAAGATTATAATATACCTAAGATTACTGTAAACAAAATAATAATAGAGGTCATTTCAGATACATAGAATAGTATGGTATACATTTATTACATTAACTATCTATCTGAATGAAATCAGCATACACAAATTTAGACAATAATCCTACCAACAACAAAAAATTATGTAATGGGAGGGGGAGGGTTTGTTTGTTAAGTAAAACAAAAAAAGAGAAATGGAAAAAATAACTCGGGTTGGTTAGTGATTATTATTATTATCATTAAAAATAAACAACCACTATTGGATAGGCACAAATAAGTCATATACATATATATATAACGAGAACAGAATCGATAATTGGATTGTTTGGTAGAACCATTCCTTCCCCCCCCTCTCTCTCTCTCCAAAAAAACAGGAAGGGAGAGTTGGACTTTAAACGGATCAAGAAGAACTCAATTACATGTATCATTCAGGAATAAGAAAATGAATTGAAATATAGATATATATATAAAGGAATAAAAAGAAGACAAAATCCTTCATGTATAGTAATAGTTTGTTAATTCATTCATATTATAGAGGCATAGTGACAAATAAATGAGTATGATTCGTGTTGTATTCTAAACAAAACAAAACAAAACAAACCAACAGTGATACACAATTTGTATACTGTTTAATTTGTAATTTGTCCATTTGTATTAATCAGTGGAGATAAATTATTATCTATAGGAATTGTTGAATTAATAAATGAATGACATTTACCACTATTAGTTAGACCATTCACAACATTATCACACATGATATCTTGTGCTTCAATATCTTTCACTGGAACACATTGTTCAATCGGTTTACTTTTGTTATTATCATGATGATTATTTGCAGATGGATACAATCGACGAACGGGAAATTCTAAGAAAAGAGTGAAACCACCGCATAGAAGAATAACACCACATATTCTTAATGACCAAACAAATGTACCCGTGTAATCAGCAACAAAACCTATAAGAAAAGATTTATTAATTAATGTTTAAAAATAATTTTCTAAAAAAATTGTCAATCTATCTGGATACAACAACCGATATACCAAAATAAACAAATAACTAGGGGTGTTCAGTGTATACATTTTGAGTTTGTTCAACGTGATGGGAATTATAATGTTTAACCAATATATGGGCATTATTGTATTCCAGCCACAAAATACCCTGATATGGCCAAGGGTGAAAAGAGTCAGCTCTCCCTCTCCAAATGCTCTCACATGGCCATGTGCATAGAACCTTTAACAGGGAAGTCCTAATCACTGCCTTCTCGTGGCAGGGGTGTTGATTAAGAAAATGTGAGGACGAAA